TCTCTATAACACTCGTACACATTCGAAGGAAAATCATTCTGCTAATTAATATCTACCATCTTTAAATTCGTTTTACACCAATCACAATATGATCGAAAAAGTTGACATCGTCGTGGAACGTAAAAACTGGTCGAAATAAATAAAACAAAACGATAGAAGGCAAAAAATATTGAAAACCCACGGGTCATTGTAAAAAAAAAAAAAAATAATAATAAAAGAAACTAAAATGAAAACGTTTCACCCTAACAAATCAACGATTTAAGATTGAAACGAACGTAACGCGCGTCGTTGACGAAGTGCGTGAAAACGATTTTCGTTTTCGAAATAAGCCACGCCGCGTAGCGGACAAACGTTGTCGACGGCCTTCGGTGGAAGGGTCGACGGAACGATGGCACAGAGCGCACGCGTAGTACCGACGAGCAACGCTCTCGTTGCCCGTTCGCCCGGGTTAGGTTTTTCAGGGTTTGGACCGAACCGTTCGGGATCGCGAAGCTGAACGTTTTCGGTTTCCCGGTCATTACAGAAACGATGTACTACGATGCGATTATTTGCGAAAAAGGGCGTAAGCGAGAGGACTGTTGTTTTTCCAACGACTTTTTTTTATCGTCTATAATAAAAAATTCTTGAAACGAAAATCATCGACATGGTTCGACGTTCCGGTTGACCGTATTGGTTTTTTGGTTGTATTCAATAACAATATCGTTGCGTGCCACAGGTGTTTTCAAAGACGATACGTTACAAACGCTGTACCATAACTAAAATACATCGCGTACACCGCTTAACTGGTCATAGAAATCGATTTTATTTATTATTATTTACTCGTAACATTAAATCGAACACATTCTATTTTCGGTGTAACGGTTTTAGTTTTAGTACACTAATGTTTTATAATTTATTCGTACAACTACGAGAACTGAATGAATTTCGATTCATCGTTCTTAAGGTGCGATTCACGTCTGTAAACGCACGACTGACGATTTTTGCGACACGACGGAGTAGGTGTTCCGTACAACTAAAAAACGCAGTCGCGAGAGACGCGCGGCGAGTATATAATTGCTACATTGTTATCGTAAGACATTTTAAAATTACATAGGTAAATCAAATAAACGGTATCAAATTAACAATTCGACGATAATCGGTCGCGCATCTAGTGCGTTTCGACCGCCCCTAACAAGCGGTCGTCAGTCGCGCGATTAGAGACGTAACAGCCGCGCGGCGGTGTTGGGAATAGGTTTCATTTAAAAATATGAAGAGCAGTTAAGGTTAGGGCTAGTTCACATGAGAGGCGTTAAACGCGCGTTTACAATTACTATTAATAGCTATTAACTGTACACATGGTAACGCGCGTTGTATGGCAACGCGCGTTCAACGCAGCGACAGCGCAAAAAACCTGTCAACGCGCGTCAACTTGACGCGCGTTTGAACATTGTACAGTTTTGCATTGACGTGTTCAGTTGCAACGCGCGTTTTGAAGCGATAGGTTCTTGTTTTTCGATATTTTCATTTGTTTTTTCGAAAAAGTTTTCTAAAAAATCAAAAATGGATAGTGAGGAATTTGATACTGATTTATTCATTGACGAAATTGAAAAAAGACCCCCAATTTAGGATATGACAAATAGTGAATATTCAAATAAAATCAGTAAAAGAAAGGCCTGGGAAGAAATTTTTCTAATTTTTAGTGACCCAAGTGACACGCAAGAAAGAAAGAAATTCCATGGTAAGTATTTTGTATTTTATAATTTGATATAAAATTTAAAATCAATTAAATATATAATATAGACATAATTTATTTTGTTTCATATTGTTTTTTGGAAAAAAATTCTATACATAAATTAATTATTTAAAACTATTATTAAAAAAAAAATACATATTGTTTGTTTTTAAAATAAAGTTTTATATACATTGTTGTACATCTATTTACTTCTAAAAATTAATATAACTATTAAAATATTTTGTACTTATGTATAAATTTATATCATACGGTCAATGTCGACGCGCGTTTAACGCCTCTCATGTGAACACTAACTAAAAAACGCGCGTTTGGCTAACGCGCATTTTACGCTCTCCATGTGAACTTACCCTTAGGAATAGGTTTCATTTAAAAATATGAAGAGCAGTTAAGGTTGGAGTTAGAGTCGGGCTTCGTCAGCCGCGTCGGTCACGCGTCTGTAAATGCGCTCTAAAGAACCGCACCTTTAAGCGTACGTTTTGGCACTTGAAACGTCAACATTTACAATTTAATAAGCAATAGTTTTTGTACAACGCACGAAGTACAAGGTCGTATTGTTTATTATTTTTTTTTTCTGTTTGACAGTGTAATCATGTGTTATTATTTATTACAAATGACATCGTAAGTGTTCGAGTTAACCATATTTATTTCGCGAACTTTAATTTTTATTCGTAGGACACTTCCTCGAATAAAAATTGTGTCTACCGTAAAGAAAATCAATGTTCAAGTAAATGATATTCGGTCAACCATTTTTATTATTATGTGTATTAAAAATAATCGAATTTTATTTTTGACTTTATACGATTTTTTTCTTTTTCATCCTTTGGAGCAAATATTAAACAAAAACGATTTCGCATTACACGGAACACGGGAAAAATCGCTTATTGATAACGAACGAGGTAACAAATATGAATTCAAGTAACGTTTAGAAATTTCGACTCGAACGATTCCTTTGAAGATGATGATATGGCCGGGGGTATCACCCGTAAACGTATTTGCCGGGCGCCCAAGTACTGATGGTGGTCACTGGTATTAACCGTAAAGAATTACCGGTGCGAACTGTATCGCGAGAACCGGATCCGCGTAGAATCCACGTATTCGTGACGATTCGAAGTGTGCACCACGCGGTTATAGCTTGGATTTTCATCCGTTTTCAACAAGCGATTTTTTCCGTCATCCGTGTAATACGAAAAAAATTTTATTTTCGCTTTGCAGGAAACACGAAAAATTAAATTTGATTGTTTTTTTCACGCATAATAATTGTTTAAATAATTATGATTTACTTGAACATCGATTCCTATTACGGTTGATTGTTTTTACTCGAGGAACTTTTTTCCGAATAATAATAAAGTAAGTATTGAGTGGTATTAAGTTGGCGAAATAAATATGGTTAACTTGAATGTTGATTCGTACGATGTTGATTTTTTTTCTTTTTAAATATTTTTTTAATTTCAACAAATGAAAATGGTCGTTGAAAAAAGAACAATTCACTTATATACGTATTTTTAGGAAATAATAGTTACATAGTAGATTGTTTCTAATCAGAAATGTTCGATTACCCAATTTTATTATTACATACCTTGTTTACATGCATCCATTAATTCGAATTAACTCGATTCGTATTGAATCGATTTGAATTTGAGTACCTGTATACATGCGCTTTTAAAATCGCATTATAGTATAACACACTTCCACCAAACCAGTTTACGTTGCAAAAATCGGTTTAAACTGTGCATGTAACCGTGGTAACAAACGTGAGGTTTAGTCAACGGCGACGGACGAATGTTTACCGGTATGGCAACGAGACGATAAGCAAGGTTACTCGTTCTGTCCGTAAAACAACGAATAACAATTCGTCCCATTAGATTTTTCCGACCGCGCTGGAAACGCGATACGAATATCATACGGACGGTCGAAGGATCACGTCCTCCCGCCCGGTTACTGCTGTCGAAAAAACCGAAAAACGTATTCGCCGACGAGACGAGGAAAACCGCGTGCGTTTAGATGGAACGGGTTAAGTGAGTGTCCTGGGATCGGCATTGTACTTACGCGCGATTACGCCCACGTTTCCAATTCCGCAAACGACAACACCAAATATTGTCGCTTTATTGATGGTTACTGTTGTTATTCCGAAAAACGTTACGGTTAACGCTAAAACGTGCACGAAAAATGTCAGAATACGTAAACAAAATTACAAGTACTTTTTTCACCATAACTTTCACGGTTTTATGCGTTAGTCACATTTTTCCGTTTCCAATACGTCAACGTTCGCGCAGAACAGCGATTAAAACAAAATTACATCGAGATATGCACGAATAACAAAACGCAGTAATAAAAAGGTTATTGTTATTTAAAACGAATTTTGTAAATCTCTTGGTGAAATTTTTAGGACTTCTAAAAAAAACAAACACGCCACGAGCCCTGATTTTTACACGTCCGCGGGAGATACGTTTTTACATTTTTTTTCCAAACGGTATTGTTCGTTTTTTTTTTTTCTTAACCGATTTGTGCCGAAGTCTTTTAATTTTCAATTCAAATCACCGCTAACCGGAAAATCCTATTACAACACGTGTTTCTAGAAAAAGGTTTGCCTACGTTACCTACGCATGACATGAATGAGTTAAAAATGATTTCATCGAAGCATTTCTATTGCACTCGACGATTGTTCTTGAGAATATTCGATTACCCTTATGAAAAGCGTCACAATGTCATCTATACGAGAACCAAACAATTGGATAAATGACCCGACCGGCGACCTATCCACCGCACTAGAACGTTAACCGTATTGTTGTGATCACTGTTACGGTTATTGTACACTCGGCACTACATTATTACAATATAGGCTTTTTGGACTACCGTCGATTTAGATATGTCAAAAATGGAAAATTAAGGTGGTTGCCATTGCATGTTCGGATAAAAAATATAAATATATATTTATAAATATCATCGTATAAAAAATACGACACTAACGAGTACTAAAAGAGAACTAGTTCATGCGATCTCGTAATCTCCTTTGAACCTTTAATGTTTTTCAGTTTTATTGCATTGCTGTCCGGCCATATTGATTTTCCGATACACACAAAAAAAAAACTTATTCTAATTAAATAAAAATTAAAAATTATACACCGTGTTTACTTGGGTTCTGTTGTAAATTCAGCACGCAAACGCGTGGGTGGTTTAACAGTCAAACTAAACTTAACGAAATATGAAACGTTGGCCCGTCTTCACGAAAAACTGGCAGTATTTTTTATTTATTTTTATAAATCTTTCGATGATTTGGGTCAAAAAACAAATGAACAAATCATCTTATTGTTTGTATAGAACGTGCAGACAATTGGTCTCCTCGAACATCGTGCAAGACAAAGCAGTGATTGGAGACGAACCTTTTCCCAAAAAAACTTTCGTAAGGTGTTCGTTATTAATAAAAGCAATAAATAATTTTACTTTGTATAACGTTTATTTAAACTTGTTTATTTATTTGCTTAATATTTTCAGTGAATTTATAATATTATTCACGTGTACACGTATATTCACGTAATCATATATTTTGATTATCGAAAAAATATAGCTGCTGATGTGATAATACGATAATATTTACTGCTGGAATTTTACATTTCACAGAAAATCAAAGAATCGCCAGCAGCTCGCGATGCAGAAGCCCGTCGATTAGTTATAGCTAGAAGAAAAGCAGCAGATCAGGAAGTGAAGGCGTGGCGGCTTTATCTGGAAACATTGAAAATTTCTAAGCCCCGTCAGCTGGAGCAAATCAAGAAATATTTAAATGAAGTAAATATTAATCCGGTATATTTATGAAGAAGTAAAACGAGCTTTTATTGATTGCGGTTATTATATGAAAAAAACTCTCGATTTGTACATTCCAAGCAAGACGTTCATGAACCAAAGTTTATAATATTGAAATCAACTTGTGATAAAAATTTAAAAAAAAATTAAACAATAATTATTATTGCCATATAACTACCGAAATAATATTTGAACACATATTAATCGACAATAATAATATGATAAAAATCCCCCATATACATTTGAAAGACCAATCAAAATTAGTTTGATCGTTGATCAACATAAATAATTATGTAAATACCAAATCGAAAATAATTTGGTGTAAGAAATGTATATTTCATACGGGCATGTCATCAACAACGGGGTCCTGAAAACATATTAGGTGTAGGCTAAAGCAATCAATCTAAGAGTTATCAATATTTGCGGTGCTGCCGCTGCTGAGATTTAATAACGCGGTAATGCGTGTTTACTGTCGTGAATTGTCTATACCAAACAGAAAGTCAAAGAATCGCCGGAAGTCCGTCAAGTACAACGCGAAGTTCGTCGACGGGCATTAGCAACAAAAAAAGCAATATACCAGGAAGTGAGAGCGTGTCGACTTCACCTGAAAAAGCCGAAAACGTCTGAACCCCGTCAGATTGCGCGAACCGACACGTATTTGACAGAAGTGAGCCATTTTTTTTTTTTTTGGATATTAACGTTCGGTAAGTTCATTCGACACGCACTGCGTTGTACGTTTCGCAGCTGTACGGACAACATCCGCAGACCCAGAAGATCAGCACTCAGACTGAAGAAATGTTCGCAAGCTCGGCGGAGGTGATGCTCACGGGCACGGACGGGTGTACGCAAGTGGACGAGATGGAAGTAAGCCATGGTTTGATAAGAATCACGATCGCATTCGTGTGGACGGTAACGTATTCGGTCATCACATCTGTCATTTCGGGCGGTGTTGTTTCGTCACGGATCTCTGAGTTATCGATTTGGATCGGTAACGTTGCTCGAGCGCGTAATACCACGTACCTGCTGTTCGACGCGATCATTTTGATGATAATAAATTATCAGGGGCGGGATAGGTTTTTTTTTCTCACGGTTTCGGCGACGGGATAACAACATTTCGTATTGATTTAGTTGTTCGACTACGACAAGGCGGTGACGCCGATTGTCGACAGCATGATCGGCGACGTATTGCGACAAGCGATAAATGAAGTGCAGTACGCAGACGAGCTGGCGGCCAGAGACCGATACCAAAGAATATCGTATTTGGAAAGCACTACCGTGAATAATGAAAATTTAAGGATGGAGAAAGAAGACGAACGGATTAGGAAAACCATTGTGAGTGCATTGATTTTATGTTATACAACTGTGTTACCTCCGCCGATTGATTTAAAAATATATATCCAATCTTACCGCGTGTCGTTTGTAAGCACTAATGCAAAACATTTAGCTGTCCCGTACACAGTTCAACTATCTGAAGACGCCATTCAAGAGTCTATAGAGTCTTCAGTGCCTTGTGCTGGAATGAAAAAAAAATCCTAAGGACTTAAAATTTTTCCAATCACGGATTTACTTTTGACGTTTTAACGTATTAAAGTATTAACGTAATATTTTTTTTTTTTTTTTTTTATTAACGTTTGGCCGTCAGTAGAATTTGTACTCATTAAAACCGTCACGTGTTTCTTGAGCATTTTTTTCGAAATTCACTAAATTTGTCCGAAAATGGTAGAGCTTTAAGTTTTATTCAATTTCAATCTATTGACACTGGCCATAACGAAATCGCCATACGATTGTTGGTTTGCTTGCCATTGACACTAATATTATATTCTTACCAGTTGTCATTTTTTCCATACATGTATGTACACAATGTGCTAAAACATTCCGCGTAAAAGTAAGCGAATAACATTTTATTTGTAATTTAATATAATTGCTGTAGTAATTATCATTCTCTGATCGACAAAATAACGTATTATCTGATAAGATAAATAAAACCTAATCGTATTAAAATCAATTCCGACCAAAAATGTTTTATTGACGTAAAACAACTAGTAACAAATAATGGTTAAAGTTAATTCTATTTTGAGTTATTCATTATTCATTATTTATTCGATTAATTTTAGTTGACACTTTTTAATGTATTATTTAAAGGCCAACTCGTTCCGAGCATAATTAATAAATAAGTAGAAAACAACTAAAAGAAAAGTTTGATAACTTATCATATTCATAAAAAAATTAATAAAAACTAATATAAACGATACAAGATATATTATTAATACTTTTGCACTATAAATAAACATATCTATAAAGTATTTATACACATTTTTGAAATACGTTAAATCGAACATAAAAAGATTTTAATTTGTGTGAACAAAGACAAATTAAAAAAAAATATATTTCAATTTTTACAAATGTTTTATTTTATTTCTAATTCTTACAACCATCGGTAGTGTAAATATAGATTTTATACGAGATGAAATATTTTAAAATATTTGTAAGTTAAAAAAGTATTTGTAATAAATTTTATTAAAATTCACAGGAATATAAAAACAATTTTAAATAATTAAAGAAAACTTAAATCACAACATTTTATTTAAATTTTTTAGAAATAACATATTAATAGTCACGTATTTATTAATGTATATAAAAGAAAAAATATTTAACTATACATTTTATTGCAGGCTGAACATACAAGGTATTTCGACGAAGGCGAGAAAAATGAAAACATTCGAATTTCTCAGTTGCCACCAAGTTATAAGGTTGATTTTCTACCCAGAGTACTTCTAGATTCAAATAAAAATGAATCAAACATAGACACCATAACTCAAGCACAAAGTAAACTTATTCATTGTATATCATACCATTATAACTCGTTAATCTTTGTGCATTCACTCATAGGTTTAGAATTCATTTCTTGGCTAATGACAGATCTTCAAGAAAAGAAAACGAAAAACATCACTATCGAAAACCTTTTGGAAAACATCCATCGAGACAGGATAAGGACATAATTAAAAAATAATAATATCGTTTGTAATAAAAATCGTTGTATTATTGCAACATTAGACTTGCATGACGTCGTAGTTGAATTTCACAGGTCCAGATTGGTTTTGTAACGTCTACGTTCAGTAGACATTTATTTTCTATAGTCAACTCGGGATGGAATACGATTTAACTGGTATGTTTTCGCATTTTTTCTAGAATTCTCGATTTTTTTTTTTGCCGCACATGATGATTTCAATCTAACCTAGCGCACTGCGTGCGCTAAAATCTATTGGTCGAACACGTGAACGCGGAAAAATGAGAGTGATCGTTGGGCAGTGAAATTTCGCATGAAGACGGTCAAACGCTCGTCGTCTTTGACCGAATGGTGTCCGTCTTTAAAACGTTTTATTATTAGTGGAACGTGGATGGTTTCATAGCGTGTTCACAGTAACCATGGGAAATGTTTCCGTGAAAGATTTCCCTAGCTCCACACAAAATTACACCGCACAACGCTGCTCGATCGCTCTTTCACGTCCACGTTTTCGTCCGACACACAAAACATGGCTACACAAAAACAGCTTTAGACAAGGAACTACGATAAATAACGATATGTGGTTTGAAGCAAGTCGACCAATTAGATTCTAGCGTACACAACGCGATAGGTTAAACTATAGTATATTCAAAATAAGACCGTGACCCGGCGGCGACCAGTTTTCGTCGGGCGGCGGTCAGACTCCATCCATGAGCTATTTTAACTTATCAGCAGTCGATACTAGACTAATTAGTGCTCCCGTCGGCGGAGTCGCGTTTGGCGTTATTATAGAACAAAAGCCGCGCCCATGCGCACAACTCGGCCGCCTGGTCACGGTCTTATTTTGAATAGACTATAGAAACGTCATGTGCGGTAAAAAAAAAAATTGCGAATTAAAGAAAAATTGCGAAAGCTCTACTGGTTAGTCGCATTTCACCTCGAGTTAACTACAGAAAATAAATGTCTACTAAACATAGCCACTACAAAACCAATCTGGTGGTTATGCTAGTAAGTCTAACGTTCATATAATATAACGATGTAAAAACATCCCCTTTCGGTCCATCACTGCAGCCCTCTTCTTCTTCTTTCAAAAATATTTGGTTAATGACATTAAACGATGGACAAGTACAAAAAAAACATGTTCAGCTTATTTAAAAACCAATCAACGTAATGAAATCCAATTCGAAAATAGTAAACTTACTTACGATTGTGCGAAAGATTCTGTTCAAAAAATCAACAGACAGATACTCAGCAACAATTTAAAACGAAAAGCTTTAGAACAACTCTCTGAACGTTTCCAAACTGTTCTAAGATAATTTTAGATTAAAATATAAAATTTTCACCAAAAAAAATTTTACCGCGAAAACAACATTCATTCAATATTAAAATTATCAACATTATTTGGAATTCTTAAAATATTTTTATAACTTAATTAAAATAATATTGAGTAAATGTAGGGAAAAGTGGCATGGAATATGTTTGAATACGAGTATATGATCTCAATGCTCGATAAACGATATTTTATTATTTAGAACTATTAATCATAGGTTATTATAGTAGAAGTCAACGAAAGATATGGCTTGATTCTATATACAAAGAAAACAAAGTTTATGATAATATCAAAAAATCATAACTTAGGAGGACATTTAATAATTAAAAATAAATATAGAATAGGTACAACAATTTAGGTACCTCGGAACAACAATAAATAAAGATTGGGATCATTCATTAGAAATAAAATGTAGAATTGAAAAAGCTAGGGAAACATTTCGAAAGATGTCAAAGGTATTCAAGTGATCTGTTTTTTGCTACAAAAATCAGACTGTTAAGGTGTTATGTTATGTTCTCTGTATTATAATATGGTATATAGTATAATATAATATATAATATATAATATTATATAATATTATATAATATAATATAGTCGAAACCTGGACATTAACAGATTTAGCATGCAAACAATTGAAGCCTTTGAAATGTGGTTGTATAGGCGTATGTTAAAAATTATATGGACAGATCGAGTTACTAATTAAAAGGTACTGGAAAAGATGGACAAACAAAAGGAAATATTAACTACAATAAATGCTCAGAAGCTTAAATACATTGGACACATTATAAGAAATAATCAATGATACAATATACTCCAGCTTATTAAAAGGAAAGATAGAAGGAAAAATAAGTGTCGGAAGAAGACGAATATCTTGGATGAAGAATTTCCGCGACTGGTACAATATAACATCAATGTATTTATTTCAGGCATCACTTGACAGGAATGACATTGCCTGTATGATATCCAACATCCGGAATGGGTAGGAAATCATAGAAGAAGAATCATAGGTTAAAATACAATGTAGGCTTGAAACATAAACTGGAAGATTATATTAGTATTATAATTTCAACTAATATCGTTAAATTAATTAAATACTTATACTACTAGAGTAAACTTTTGATATAGAAGCTGATCCATCCGATCGCCTTCTCCACATTCAAGGATATATTAATTAAGAACATCGTCCCCAACGGGTTTACGTGTAAGTCTAATCCTTCACATCTTATCGTCCGACCCAACAACCGTGATAACTTCAACGCAATAGCTGAGCATTCGATGGAAACTAACATCAGTTTTCATATTTTTCGTTCTCGCTCTGTGCGTGACATACATATATCGATATATGATATATCTATGAGGATTAAGTTTTTGTTTCTTCATTCGATTATACAAAATACATTCTGGTGATAAATATCATATCATAAAATGGTTTTTAATTGCCGACTCTGTTAGTAGCCATATCCGATCGCGTGATGCACTTTGTCTGAGTTGACTAAACCCGGTGAGGTTAACGAACATCATGCACGACATAATCGAGTGGTCAGTCATTAAATTTTGCAAACAAAACAGTCTCAACTAACGGTTTTGAATAAATTTTTAATTTAAATAATATTTAAACTTTGTACTTGTTCTGATGCAATCGTCCTATGTAAACGCTAATTTAGTATTTGGTACAATATTTTTTTGTGCGATAATTTCGTAGAAACTACGGAAATACATTTTCCGTGAGCAACAACTTTTCGTTATCGGTAGCAAACTGATGTATCACATGAATTATTTCACTGTTTAAGTTGTATACGAACATTCCCATCGCCCAAACATTTCAGAGAACAGAACTATTCGCTTAATCGACAAAGTAGCCTTGCTACACACGGCAAATGTACTTTTGTAGTTTCTGCAACGAAATTGTTGTGGAAATAATGTCATATCAAACACTAAATCAGCTTTTATATGGTACAAAGTTATGAAGTTTAAATATTATAAAAAATGAAAACGTTATATTAGGTTAGGTTAGGTTATTCGTTTCTTATGGACATTTTGTATGCAAAGTTATTGCTGCTGGCCACTTGATTGTGTCGTGCACGATGTTCGTTAACCCTTTGGGGTTCGATTACACCAACGGCAGCAGCACGCGAATGTTTACTTACGGAAGAGCCGATAAATTTTGGTTTGAACGGTTTAAAGCCGTTTAATAATACCAAAGAAATGTTTGTAAGAACTATTAAAAGAAAAACTCTATTCTAGTCAATGTACAAAGTATAGTTAGTTATATTCATTTTTAGATAGATAGATATTTGTACTAATGTTATGATAGTCATACGGCCCACCACTAGCCGGCTTGGGAAGTCAAAATAGTGGTAGGGGCCAAAAACCCCGGGTTGACCAACCGACGTCAACTGAAAACCTGGTCAGTACCACGGGAGGGGAAGCCCCACCGCACGCCGGGCCGGCCTAGCCGTTCCGGACTCGGTGCCCTCAAGGTTGAGGTGCCTACTTCGGCTAAAAAGTGGTGGCTGTGGCACAGCGCGAGATAGTAACAAAACCATAATACCCAGTGGAAACTGCGGGTCCCAACACGGTTCTCGTGTCCGTGGAATGAAAGGGTACAGGCCTAGGCTCGGTGCTGGTGGTCCATAGGTTATACCCCCTTGGTCATACTTTGGGGTCCATTTCGACAGTACCCCTAGAGTAACGCCTCGCGTTAATAGAAGGTGTGCGGACGAAAAGGCCTCGGCTACAAATCCGGATCTCGTGTTATGATAATAGGTAGTCATTGCAGATGGATAGTACAATTAAATCATACAATCATAACGTCTCTTCGCTGTGATTGAGGAGAGAGTACCTAAATAGAGGTTACAAAAATGAGATACTTAGTAATTAAAAATATACGAAATAAATACGATATATTTTTTAAATCAAAACCGTAACCAAAAAATATTTAAATCAAAAAAATTTAAAAATTATTTAAAAACCAAAATCGGGATGCAAAAATCTAAAATCGCAAACCGATATAATTAAAAAATGATCATCGGTATAATAACTATGGTGTGTATTATAGCTATATTTCGTGTCACCATAAGTCATTGCATTTTCTTAGTAAATAATACTTATAATTTTCGTATAATGAAATTACAAAAATGAAATATACTTTACAAAGTGTATAGCTTCTAAATTATAGTATTCTATTATCGTGGATCGATGACCCGTTTCCTGAGTAAAAAAAGTATATAATTTGGATGTAAACAGACGGAAACCGACGTTTTATTTACCATTACCAAGGATTACAAATAGAAACAAATATAAAATCTAATGAATCGGGCCACAGCAGGCATACGACATTTTTCCCAGCGTATAAGTATAGTTATGCGTGTCAATAGGATATGAGCCGTTTTACACAGTTTTTTTTATAGAAACGTTGTTGTTCCAGATAATAAACATAGTCGTATCAGCGTTTTTTTTTTACTTGACGTGTGCAACGACCGTTGTACCGGATAATAAACATTATCGATACGTAAAAGTAAATACTAGTTCTTAAAATCGAAATCTGAACAGGAAACAATAAAAAACCGATTTTCAAATCAAAATTTAAATCAAAAAGAACAAAAACCGTTTTTAAAAATCAAAATTGAAACAGAAAAATTTGAAATCGGTATTTATAATTTCAA